CCCCCCCCCCCCCCCCCCCCCCCCCCCCCCCCCCCCCCCCCCCCCCCCCCCCCCCCCCCCCCCCAGAGACGGTAAAGGGACACCAGTGACCGGATATCGTCTGTTCCGCTCGAGGCGCGCCATCATAGTCTCGATCTTATATGCCCTAGCTTGTCTTAACGGCGGCCTCAAACTTAATCGTAACGTTGAGTGGGCAGGCAAAGCGGTCGGTACAGCTGTCCGAAGCAGGATATCAAGGTCCCTTGCGTATATGACAACAGCGAATTTTCGTTTTTACCATTTTGAAATAGGCAATATTCGCAATGCCTTCATGTTGTCAAGGCTATCCTGCAAAAGGTTGTTGGTGATACAGCGCGCTTAGGTCACGTTGGGTTGGAGAATCCAATCCCTTTTAGCCGACGGGCTTTCGTTAACGCGCGCTCCCGCGGGGCGCCTTGGAGCGGGAGATTTGCAGTCGATCTGTGCGTACGCTGCGTCTCCTCGTGGCAAGCCTGAAACGTCGGTAATGCACCGTGAACTGTGGTTTTCGCCTGGGGATTGTCGACTTGGTGCAAGAGAAATCTCGCGCGATGCCCATTCCAAGGTTGTAAGGGAGGAAAGGAATATCGTTAAACCAACAAGCGCACTACGGCTAATGGTGCATCACTAATTAAAGAAGATGCGAATGCGAGCAGTTCGTCTCGGATGCGCATTTAGGGTTTGTAAAAGGAATGCCCTTTGCAGGTCGGGGGTTTGAGGCTGTCTGCCGCGGACACAGTCTTGCGAAGAGAGTCTTTCCGACCCCTGGAGGTACCTAGGCAGATCCACTGTGTTGGAAAATTACGTTCCCTTTCCTGGGAACCGTTAGCGATTGGTCGCTGGGAATGAGCGCTACAATGAGAAAGACATTCATCACACCAATATCACGTCGAGTGTACTCTAATGTTTCTAATGTTTTAACGTAATTTTATTACTAAGACACTAGTCTCTAAGTAGGTTTCCTCTTATAATTCTACCTTAGCATTCTATTATTTCTACTAACTTATACTTACTACTCTAAACTATGCTTATTTAAGTAAATTAAAGTACTTACTATATTTAGTAATAATAGTATTACTAATACTAATCTTTTTTATATATATACGCCTAAGCTACCTTATTTTATATTAGCTAAGAGTACTATTAATATACTTTATAAGTAGCTAGTTTAAGGCGTTAATTTTTAGCTAAATAAAGTTAACCTTATTATAGTTAATTACTATATACTATTAGTAGCGCTCTAAGCGTTATTATTACTTATATTACTTAGGCTAACTTTCTAGTAATATAACTTAACTAGCTTAATTATCTAGCTATTATCTTATACTTTAGTATTATTATATTTTCTAATAAGCGCTCTAGTCTTTATAATTATTTTTATTACTTTTAGTAACTAGCTACTAAAGTACTATTTTAGTAGTAGTAATAAGCATACTTACTTTTAGTTAAGAACTAAGACTAAAATTTTAAGCTAAGTAGATATATTAATAAAGAGTTTAGATAAAAATAGTATACTATAATAAAAAATAATAATAGTACTTTATATACCTAAACCTTAACTATAGTTCTATAGTATAAGCTATTTTATTTTAGAGTTATTTTAAAGACTTATTACTATACTATAGATATATATAAAAACGTACTAGCTTAGACTTAGTTATTAGTAAATTATAGTTATTATATACTTAACTACCTAAAGTACTATTAAAGTTATTATAATTAGATTATTACAAGACAAGCGCGTAAATAAGAACACGTTAAGTGTAGCGCGTGCTGCTGTGTGTTCTAGCCTTATCCGCCCTATAGTATCTATACATAGCTGCGAGTCATGGTGGTCGTTATGAAACGCTCCACCACTCATTTTCCTTTTTCGTTCCAGCTTACTGGTGCTGTTATGGGTCCACACATGACGCAAGGATGGTGCACACTTCTTTCCCGAAGGTCGTAAAGTAAGTTCAGAGATTATCGCTGACAGCCGTGGTGCTGTGGTTCTCATCTATCTGTAACACAATGGGTATCCCAGTTTTGGTAGCCTGGCGCGATCCCCGTGTGCGGACGTGTGACTGACAGGCCGGGGTGAGCGCTTCGCTTGCATCAATTCCAATGTGTGACGAGTGGTAGCGTTGGTGATGGTCAAGCGATGTCCATGGATGGCAGACGGTGATGTTGTGCACTAGAGCAGTGGACGCCGTTTCGCGGGCTGGGAGATGCCGCAATTCGCTTTCGTGGGCCGCGAACTAGCGCGACTGATGCCGGTAGTGGTGTGCTGTGAAGTATTGAATATTGACAAATTCTTTCGAAGATGGAGCCCTGCCTGGATTCACCGGTTTGGTGTTGTGATATGTTGTCACACCTCAATCGAAGATAGTGTGGGACGCCTTGATCCGAGAAACACACTGCAACACTCCAACGTCCCTCATGGTAGCCTATCAACAGACCTGCGGCAACGTCCTCAGGCCGCCATCTTGTGGCTGCGAGCCGTTCGCCCGTTGAACTTCGTATTCGAAGTTTGTTTGAGCCACACACCCACGCGCGCAAGCATGGCTAGTCCTGTACGACATTTGACGTCTGCTGCCGTTCATCGGTGTGGTAAACCTTCGGTGGGCGCGACGCGCCGATATGAACGCCTCTAACTTTGTCTCGACGACCCATGCATGACAACAGTGGGCTGATGGTTCCTTCATCAAGTGGATCAATGTGACTAGATGGCGATCAGGTCAACATTGAGCTCGTTCTCCGCGTTCCCGAGGGTGGCTGCCACCAAACTTGCCTGTAACCGATGTTCGTGGTTGTCTGAGGCAGAGTCTGGGTCGCGCATAGATGTGGGCTGGAAAAAGGCCCGGATAACCCCATCCTATGTCAAGACCGATTTTGTGATTCCGGTCATTTTTCCGGACTAGGTACCTATCGAACGATCGTTGACGATAGAACCGAGGTACTTCCGTGAACGATTATGCCCACACGTCATCATGAGAAATCCGCACCCGACGTCCCAACACAATTCACGGAAGTCTTTCAAGCAAGGTGTAAGACGTGGTCGCGTCCAAGATGGGTTCTTTTCCATGAACCAGCGGGGTCTGGGGAGAAGCGACGCGAATGAGGGGCGAATGTGTGGATCCGGGGCAGTGTCGCGTGCCTGTGACTCGTCGAGATAGATGCGCCTTCCTCATTGACGAGTGGCGCCTATGGCTGGGCTTTCGAGCGCTTTCCATCGTATCTTCATATCATCGTCACCGACTCACAAACCTCCATGAACCTCCCATGAAGCACTATGGTCCAGCCGCTATTTCCCAGTATCACCCGAGACGATGATAAAACCGCGCAGCGTCTCAGCGAGCACGAAATCGAGGCTGAATCCTCACTTAAACCCGGCGATAAAACCGATGAGGCGCTAAGCGTTCATCGCGGGGCAATTCGTGTACCTTCTCCGAATCCGTCACTCATATCAATAGACGATGCGAATGTTGTACGACTTGGTCGGAATCCAGACTATGCTCCTGTATACCATGAGGAATATGCTTCACGCTCATCCGCCCCTCCGCGGACTTTGAAAGAGAAGATCGACTCTTTTTGGACGACGAACAAAGGTTTAGCGTACGTCTTGCTCGCTCAGTTCTTTGGAAATCTTATGAATGTTACCACGAGGATATTGGAAATGGAAGGAAACAGCGGTAGGCAGATGCTTTTGTAACAACACGCGCTTGTGCTGACCTAAGGTTATAGGTAATGGCTACCATCCATTTCAGATCTTGTTCGCAAGGATGAGTATCACCACGGCATGTGCTCTATTCTACATGTGGTATCGCAAGATAGAACACTTTCCATTCGGCATGAAGGAAGTACGCTCGTTGCTAGTCGCTCGAGGTTTGTTCGGCTTCTTTGGAGTCTTCGGCATGTACTGTAAGTCACTTACCCTCCTTGTTAGGACCATGCGTATGCAGTAACTTGTCTCAGCTCGTCTGATATTGGATCACGTCTGAAGGTTATTGCTACTGCATCGCTGTGATGAACTCCACAGTACATCATATGGATCCTACCTACTCGACACGGTGCTGACTCTTATAGATTCTCTGATGTATCTGCCCCTGGCCGATGCCACCGTCATCACATTCCTCTCGCCATCGCTAGCTTGCTGGGCGTGCTCATACTTCATCAACGAACCATTCACCAGGATGGAGCAGATAGCTGCATACATCTCGCTATTCGGCGTCGTCTTGATCGCAAGACCCGTCTCGTTATTCTCTGCGCTATCGCATTCCAGCGACCCGGTTCCTGCCTCCGGTGGCTTAGACGCCATTCCGACAAACGTCACTGCGACTTCGCCGGATCGTCTCGCTGCGGACTACGATGATGTGACACCCACACAACGAGCAGCAGCAGTAGGGGTCGCGATGTTGGGCGTGATAGGGTCAACAGGAGCATACACTACGATCCGATGGATCGGCAAGCGCGCGCATCCACTTATATCTGTCACGTACTTCGCAACATGGTGCACGATTGTTAGCGTAGTGGCAATGGCTGTCATGCCAGGCGTCGGCTTTCTACTTCCAAAAGGTCTTAAAGATTGGTCCTATCTGCTCTTTCTAGGCATCTGTGGATTCGTCATGGTAAGTCTGGTCTACAGCATCGCATCGCGCATCTATTAACGTGATATAGCAATTCCTCCTAGCCGCGGGTCTCCAATACGAGAAGTCTTCTCGCGCAACGAACATGCTCTACATGCAGATGTTCTTCGCACTTGGATTCGACAAGCTAATTTGGGGTACAACGCCGAGTGCCTTGTCCATTGTTGGATCGTCGCTCATCCTTGGTTCGGCTATATATGTCGCAATGAACAAGGAGCAGCCAAAGAAGGTAGCTGAGCCAGTGGGTAGAGGAGATAGCGAAGAAGAAAGGGGCTTGATGTCGCCGGTCTTTGATGCCGAACGAAGAGATGAGGAGGATGCCGATATACAGATGCGACCGCTGAGATGATACTTCAGCGTTCCCTTTGGATTTGCTGTAAAGCTTCACGCGCATGAGGAATAGATCTCTAGACTGCTTTGCATGAGTATAAACAGGAACTTAGAACATAGACGCATCGCGAAACCGGTTCTTGTAGTTGTCTAAACCTATCGCGTATTATCAGACGTTGAACAATGTGCGCCCTTCTTATCGCTCTCGACATCGCAGATTTATGATTCGTTGTTGGTACTTCCATGATATGTTGGGTGATGCGGCGGCGGAGGTCTCGGAAGTGATATTTAGCTACCCCACCTGCGCTCCACGCGCAATCTGCGTGATCAAGCTGGCCAGAAGCCACTCAGGCAGGCAGTCTTAGCCCACCATCGTCTACATTGTCGTGCTTTATATTGTAATAATCTCGCCAGCACTTCATCAACAAATCCTCTGTGGCGCAATTGGCTAGCGCGTCTGACTGTTACAACAGTAGCTAGTTATCAGGAGGTTGGAAGTTCGAGCCTTCCCGGAGGAGGATTATATTTTTGCCCTGCAGGCATCCTTTTGCACCCACCATGTCGGTGTGGCTGTTCAATGCATCACAATCTTTTGTAGAAAAGCCAACAAGGTCACTAAGTTTTTTTGTTCGCAGAGGGAACAAAGCGCATTGCTACCAAGTGGTATGCGACCGACAGCTCATTCACCACCTCGATAGCTATGCAGAGTAGGCTAAACCCTACTCCTCTGCATACTCGTAAACCTTACCCTCCCATCTTCGATCTTGAGTACATTGACTGGGACTTTGACGCGCAACGGTTCTTCGCCTGGTAGATTCATCGGTGCGGAGAAACCTGCAACGTGCGAAACAGCACTATCGCAAGTCGGGCACTTCCAGTTCCTGTGCGCTGCGTCGCTAGTCTCGTCGCTATTCTGCTCGATGCGCTTAATGCAGATGTTGCAGAATTGGTGGTCGCAGGGACGGATGCTAGCGGTGTGTTAGCACAGAGTAAGGAATGGGAGGAAGGGCAGCGACGTACATGCAGTCGCAAAGTCGTAGTTCGCACGTTGTGCACATCTTTGGTTTCGTCGGATCGAACTCAGGTTCGGTGCTGATGCCGATGTGTTGGTCCATCTGACTAACACTCTTCACGTTGTCGAAGTCACCTCCGTCGAGCCGCTCATCCACTTTCTCCTCGACGACGAAGTATTGGCCACCGGCCTCTGTGTAAGACTTGACGTCGGTGGATGGCGGAGCGGGGACGATATGCGTAACCTTTTCGCAGCTTACCGGGTCGAGGATGTGTATGTGGAGGATGCGTGCTGCGGCATGGTTCCATGTTGTGGGTGGGTAGGGGTCTTTGTATATGTCTTGAACTGATTTGCGTGTTAATAGGAAAGGAAGTACGGATGAATCAGACATACTCAGCTTGCCGCCCGCGGCTAGACCCATGGCTTTGATATTTTTCGTTTCGATGACTTGGGGATCTGGAGCGTCTACACCATTCCCACCGGAGACACGATCCCCACCCCCGAACGCATCATCGTCATTATCCACGCCCATGAGTGGGTTACCGCTTCCTTGGTCTGCACAACCCCGCCTTCTTGATGCCAGGGAAAAAGAACTCCAACTATCATCAAACATTGGAAATGAGGGTTCCGGGACCGTTCCCTGCATTGGTCCAGTTGATAGTGCACCACCATCTTCATTGAAAGATGGCATGACTGGTGGTGTCAGACTCGGCAATTCTACCTCGACAGTACGTATCTTCGTAACTTCTCGCAGCTTTTGTTGTGAGAGTGAAAGGGTCAGCCTGTCTCCATGCTTTTCCTGCGGATTGCGCTTTTTGTTGATCGCCTTGAAACCACAGATTAGCGAGAAAGACTTAAGTAGGACTTGAAACAACTTACTATACACTCGATGATCTCTCCTGATTTTGCAAGATGCTTCACCTTGACAACTTCCTCGCAGGCACGATCGGCCGGGTACGATCTCAAGATATCACCGACTTTGCGTTGAAGCTGTTGAGGCGTCATCGTCTCCACGAGGCCAAGAGGAGTATCTCGGCCGGTTGTAAGGATAAACTTTTCATGTTTGTACGACCACAAGCGTTGCTTCGGGAGGCATTCGGGGGTGATTTCGAGTTGGAGTCCCCCATGCTGCTCTTTTGATGTCTTCTGGCCTTCGACAGTGTACCCAGACCCGACTTTATACAGTCAGCACAGTCACAACAAGAGCAAGTCAAATACGTACGGGGCATAGGAACGAACTGGCGTACTACACCAGGCGCTACACAAATACCGTCTAACCATCTTTGACCTGGTATGACGATGTAGTCCTGCTCGAGCTCGTCGTTTTCATAGTTTGCGGTTTCTTCCATTGTGAGACCGGAAATCACGTTGACATGACCCATAAAGATACGAACAGCACACTTGCGTATCGTTGGCTCAAAGTTGAGCCACATAGCCTCTCTCTGCCACATAGGAAAGAAGACGCCGCCACTGTCTCCGATGTTGGCTGGTAGACGGTCTGCATATGACTCTACGCTAAACAGGTCGTAACTTCCCAGTGAACTCGGCAGCTGGTGGAGCTTGTTATCGTCTGGCATCCTAGGGGTACGTTCGAGGGACATGTGAAAACCGCAATTGGCTTCAATTGCGCGCTTTGAGGAATGTAGCGGGGTGATATTGAAGTCAATCCGTTCGCCATAGTGCGCGTTCGCGTGTGAGATGAGTGACTCGGTGATTCTGATTGTATTTTTGCTGGAGATCTGGTCGTCTGCGACTACCGCCACCTCTTCGTGGTCGCTCACGACTCGCATATCTTCGTCTTCGCGGTAGCATGCTTCGCCAATCGTCATCACGACGGGTTTGTGGAAGCCACAGTCTATACAGTGTTAGTACAGTACTGACGTGCTGAGAGTATGGATATGTAACCTGCGATCCGAGTCCACAGCTCAGACAACGGCTCGTCTTCATGCATGACCGTGGAGAACTTCGATGAGTTGTTCTGTCCATCTGAAGTTCCTTTTGAGTTGATCTGCTTGGCATCCTGGATCTTCTGCAGGCCTTCGATCAAGATCCTACGAGAGTCGATAGGGACGACTGGAGGCGCTGCGAAACTCATGGATAGCGCTAAGTTCGCGATTTAAATAGAGTAGTTTGTGACTTGGTATTTATGAGAAGGGAAAACGATGCGATGAATGAAGTAGGATGCAAGTCAGCTCGAAAAAAACATTTATGCCTTTTCAGGTGGGGTGATCTCAGCCGCACGCGTGCGCCCGCTTTCATCGCATTCAGCTGGGCTCACATCTCTGTCATCCTCACAGAGTGACGAGGACCAGCAAAGATGTCTTTTGGCTTCTCCGTAGGAGATATAAGTATGTGCAAGTAGCCGTGATTTATCGCAAACGTACTGATTGTATCTAGTCCTCGTTAGCCAATTAGCGTATGACCTATACTGTACCGTCAGCTCTGGAAGGCAAGCAGCGTCGCGCGACTTGAGAGAGCTCGAGGAGGTGCTCTTCAGTCTGAGATGCGCTCTGGATCACCTCAAAGAGGTGTCCCATGACGTGCTCACAAGATCAGGGCTCCCAGATGGCGACGAGCTCATGGAGAAGCTTGGTATGATGATCAGCTCTTGCGCTTCAACGTTACAGGAGCTAGACACAATGACGAAGAAGTATCGTCTGGTCGAAAATGAGGCAGGTAAAGAGAAGACTAGCCTGCGCACGTTGGAAGATGTCAAGAAGAGTATTCGCGTTAACTGGCAGAGGGTACGATGGGACCGCGAGAAGCAGTGGCTGCAACAATACCGAGAGAAGCTAAAGTCGCATACCGATGCGATAAACCTCATCTTGACCTCGGTGGTCTGGTAAGCTTCGTAGCTCAAGTCTGGAGTAAATGTAGACTGATGCATGCAGGGAGACTGTTACTTCTGCTAGCGAGAGTAGCAAGAAGAACCACGAAAAAACACATTCTTTGCTGAATGAAGTGTTGCGCAACCCAGCTGTAGATCCTGGGTTCCGAGCGATGGTGCAAGAGATACATGCCGTACTTATCAAACCGAGCCCAAAGCCAGGAGAAGTCCAGATGGAAGCGATACCAAGTACAGGATTGGCTTACAACGAGCCCAATGTTACTGCGAGTTCACTGATCGGATCGATAGTTGGCGAATCATCTGGCCCAACGGAAATACACGAAAGGAGGTTGCCTTCAGTGAGCATGCATGCGATGTCTGCTTTCCCATATAGAACATCCAGGGCAATAACGTATGCTCGTGGTCCCTCCGGAGAAGCCTCGACACAGGGAGTTGGAGGGGTAACGCTTTGGAAAGGCCGAACTACGGCTGAGAGCGCATTCCGTCGGGAACATCCGACAGGCCATGGTAATCTACCAATCGCCACCGTCCAGCTCAACAGCGAACGCCGTGCTTTCGGAGCAAAAGAGTTCAAAGCCTTCAAAGAGCGGCACGCACAGCCGAAGAAGGTTTCGAAGCCGTCTTTCTTGGCGAGTGTGGCGCCCACTAGTCAGGAGCTGCAGGCCTGTATACCATATATCTTTCGATCGACGGTGGACGGTAAGCAGGAGACGCAGGAGCTGAGGAACGAGATAACTCGGTGGACGCATGAGTTCTCTAGCTTCGTCAACGACACGAAAGCGAGTCAGGCGGATAAAGACAGACATTTCTTGACGTTATTGGGGGCACTGAATGAGGCAGTCGAAAGTAGCACAGGAAGAATGCGACAGCTGTTCTATGACACTTCGCACTCGGTGGGCTTCACGTCAGTACTGAACCAGGTAGAGACAGTATCGAAAAGCGCGAGAGTGAAAAAGGGGATTGAAGACTTCCAGGCTGACAAAGAAGATTGGGAGGAGTACAGCCGAAGTCGTTAAACTGAACGTCCTGACAAATCAGCATTGTGGTGTAGCATCGGGCCGCATGGCTCAAGATGACTGCATGAAAGCTACGATAGCCTCTTAGTAGAGAGAAATGCAGCTTCCTTAGACAATACAAACTCAGCCATCGCATCCCATCAATTGTGGGTCGAAGACATCTTCCCTCTGCTCGACGTATTCTTGTGCAACAGCATATGTCGAGGAACGATGACAGACAACGTCTGCCTGAAACAAGTCGAAGAGCGAGCTCTCAGATGACTCTGTATAGATTGCCCCAAACAGAATCGTTTTCTACACTTGTATTCACCGATGGGCCGAACAGTGACAGTAACTTCGCGTTTCCCTGTCCTTTCTTGTGCCCCTGCAATGTACTTTGTAGGACGTGTCCGGCTTCGCCGCATGCTCCTTTGAACATGAGCACGTTTTTGGTCTGCGAATCTACAAAGAGGCCAGGTTCCATATCAACAAGTTGGGACTGGTCCGCATTATGAGGTATGATGTCGTGAATTATCAGACGATTCCCGGTGGGTAGTAGACACCACAAGTCGCCAAGTGCGTTGCGTTTGGCAATGACGTCTGCCAGGGTATGTTTTCGAAAGTCGACAAAGCGATCTTGCTTGGTGACCTTCGGTGCGTGGTCGATGGGACCGTCGGAGTGGGCATACCATCCAACATCCTCATGCGGAGGTACGAATCTCCGTTCCTTCAAGACATCTACGAGCATTTCTGCTCCAGCCGCGGCAAGCCGTTGCTCCAATATCTGAGCCGTCTCAGGACGAGGTTCGGAAGGAAGGGCAATCTCGTAGCCAGGCATGGGGGTTTGTGCAAGGATAGTACCCCGGTCGAAATGCCTTGGATGCAGTGTTTGCACAGAGACACCGGTGTACTGCCGCCGCTTCAGTATGGCATGTGAGACGGGTGCTGGGCCACGCAGATCGGGAAGCAGCGAGGGATGCACGTTGAGACCGCCGTATCGCGCATAGTTGAGAATTCGCGGTGGGACGAGGAGGCCGAAGGACACGGCGATGACGACATGTATGGGGGTGGGTGGAGTCCAGCCGGTGAAGGTATCGATCACATGGGTAGGCAGGTTGAGCTCTTCGGTAGCTACGTGTTTGATGGGTACTGTAACGTGTCAATTGATGTTGTGTTGTAGCTAACAGACGTTCCTACCCTCTCTCAGCGTCTTCAGTCCCCGTCCGGTGGGCTTCGGTGGGCGATGGATGACATCAATGCTCTCAATGAGGCCCGGGACATGGCGCTTCGCGTCTGCTACGGCGCGCAGTGACGCGATGCTGAAGGCGTCAGAGCCACAGAAGAGAATCCGCAATGGCTCCGACGTCCGAGCGGGAGCAGAGGTAGAGGTGCATCGGCAGGGAGGAGTGGCGATCAAGGAGCGGACGGGGCTGCGCAGCCTCCAGATCATGGCTCAGAGGTGAGGAAGCTCGGCGACAAAAGCCGCGCCGCAGGTCTGGACGTTGCGATCGTGATCCCGTGGGGCATTTCGACCACGACAATCGGACGGATCCCTGCCGCCCGGCCGCCGCATCGCGATGGACTGCAGTGCCTGACTATGGAATACAAATAGGCCACGACGACCGCTCGTTGTTGGGGTTGCGCGTTGGCACGTTCGCTGGCTGTCTCCTCCTCCGCGTCTCCTCCGCACGCGTGACGTAGTCATCCATCACCCAAATCCACCAGAAGCGCCGCGCGACCAGGCCCTTCGCAGAATGCACACATGTCTTCCACGGCGGTTCCCAAGGTCGTCCCGGCGCAGCTCTCCTTTCTAGCCATATACAATCCCTCGCTCGGAACATCAGATGAGACTTTCCACCAGCAGATTGTCTTCTACTACTCCAAGGCCGCCAAGACGCGCTCCAGGCTGAAAGATGGCGATACACAGAGGGAGGAAGAGTTGCGCGAGCAGGAGAATGAGAAGCTTCGCCAGGTCGGGCTAGCTCAGGGCATGGTAGGCTTTGCGAAGTAGGACGCATGCAGGCGAGCTCTTTCCACGTCTCCAGCTAACCAAGAGTAGGAGTTTCTCGAATGGCGAAGCGGTCGACTCTGTGGAAACACAAAAGTCGCGCATTGTTCTACGCGAACTGGAGAATGGGTGGTGGATATTGGCAGTATGTATGCCCACGTGCTCAGAGACACTACGACTAACACCACCATAGTCTATTGATCTCACCCAACTCCCCCCTACCGGCGGCCTCACACGAACCGACTCGAGCACCGATACCACTGAGCCCATAATCGAATACTCATCACGCGAAGTTAGCCCACCTGCGCTCTTGATTCAGCAACTCGTACGCGCCCAGTCCGTCTTCCTGCTGCATCATGGCTCAACACTCGAGACCATGTTCTCCAAGCACGGCCGTGCCAAGTTCTGCAGCATACTCGACAAGTACTGGTCGCGATTTGCGAGCAGCTGGGACGTGCTGCTGCATGGAAGCCCTGCGGTAGACATATACGGTGGCATGAAGCTGGCAGCGGGTGGCGAGCTGGGCATGGGCGTTGGCGAGGAGGAGTGGGGAAGCAGTGAGCGAGACGTACTAGAAGACTTCGCACGAAGGACCTCTGGTCTCGTCGACGTCATGGTGTCCCGCTTTGGCGAAGCATCACCACTTCAACAAGCCAAGACATCCACAGACCCGAAGACACTCGAAGTGTCAGAGCTGGAACCCTGGATAGGAGTTGGAAAGAACGTCCATGCCGCAGATGGCGTTGTCTTTTCGGGTCTGGGAGCTGTGAGCAGGAAGTCATTACGAGACTTGTCTCACTGGGTAGAGTCTATCTACGCCCACGGCGAGTATGCTTACGGCGTACGAGATAACCCAACATCAGATCGTAGGAAACGACGAAGGAGAAATCTGAAGCCCGAACCCGAACCAGAAGAGCCATCGCCTCCAATACAAGAAGAAAGGCCGCGCTTCCCTCCGTCGAGCAACGGCTCCCTACCACCGGGTATCCCTCCGCCTATTGTCAAAGCAGCCGAGAACTCTCTTGACAAGGCCTCCGCCGCCGTCCAAAACAACAAATCCCAACCCGACTCTACTGCACCTGAGTCCAAGCCAATGCTAGCGTCTCTGGGTGACACCGAGACCTGGATGAAGTACATGACACTTGGCTATGGGACATCATGGGGTGGAAAGAAGAGTGCCGAAACCTCGGAATCTGCTGCTCCAATGCCAGCACCGCCACCACCGGCACGCGAACGCACCCCTTCACCAGCAGCGATGCGTTACATAGATCCTACACCTGATGTGGATCCAGCAGAGGAGAAGATGAAGCAGCAAATGCGTCTAGAGAACGACGGGTATTTCCTTGTAGGACTCAAAGGCGATCTGCAGGACCTAGATATCGACGACGAGAACGGGGAGGGTGACTGGAACATTCGTATACCGCTGCGGACCATCCATGTGGAGGTCGACAGGCGAGAAGCTTCACTGAAAACAGAAGATGGCGACTCGGACTCGACTCCGCAGTACGAGAGAGACATGAGGATGGAGCCAACAACAGAGAACAAGCTATCACGGTTACGACCTGTTGTCTACGTGGTAAGTCTACACATCAACTCCAGACTCCTCTACCCTACTAACACCCACCACAGCACCGTCCCTTCGTCTACACCTTCCTCTTCGAACACCGCACCCACTCCCTCGGCGTCGCATCCTTCTACCGCGACATCCACAACTTCTTCTCGCCCCTCCACCGCTCCCTCGACAAGAGCACCTCCCCCAGCCTCGTCGCCGCCCGCCTCCACGCCGTCTCAAACCACTACACAACCGAAGCTTCATCCGGCGGCTCAGGTCCCTCCTCCGGCCCCAACACACAAACCATCTACGACCTCGTCTACGATCCCCGCACCTACACCGTGCATTCCAGCCTACCCAATATCCCCGATCCGGGCACTCTCCTCGCCGAAGGCCTAGGCAGCAACAGCACGAGTTCCCTCGGCTGGAGCAGAATCGAAGCCCTGAACGTACACTCTCAGATCCTCGCTACGGTAGCGGGTACACGCCGCAATCTCTCTGAAATAGAACGCACATGCAAAACATCCCGCGGGTGGTGGGTCGTCTGGATGCGTCTCCCACCTTCACAAGTCAGCAACGAAGATACCGCGCAGAACAATGCTTCGAATGAAAACGCCGGTTCGGGGCATGGCTCCGGCCAGTTCAATACCAACGAGCTGCGTGAAGCGTTTCTGGTGAGGAGGGCGAGGGATACGACAGCGCATAGTGCGAAGAGTTCGAGTAGCTTTGCGAGTGGCATGTGGAGTGGTCTTGGTATGGGGGGCGGGAGTACGTCGAGGAACGAGAGGTTGGGTGGGAGTGCCGCTGGGTGGGGACCCAAGGGGTTGGCGGAGGGGATTGGGATTGATGCGAGGAGGTATGTTGAGGAGTTGTTGAGTTTGAATAGGTAGATAGGAGGTGTTGGAGCAAGAGAATACATACCCTTGCTGGTGTTGGGTCCACGGGTATATAGACTTGGACATGCCCCGGATTCGATCAAATCATCAATTTCGCTTGATACCGTCTTGGCCTTTAATATAGATGTGCATGGGGAGTTGGCATCATGGTGATGCAAAGAGTCTGACGTTCGATTTGTCTACCAACTCGCTGCGACCACTTCCCAGCGTTTTGTCATGGTATGCGTTTTCCATGCGTACTGTGTGCTACAAATCTAGGATTTCTGATTCCCTTTGTACAACGACCAGCGATTGGCACTACGTCCCGACTTATGAAGTACTCTTCATTTGACTGTGCGCACGTTTCCCTCGTCGTTATTGTACATCTATACTAGCGTCTTGCCTTCTAAGGCTGTTGAGCAGCCTGTCCAACACGAATATAGTAAACACGACCATGCCCATCTTTACTCACCCCCTTCCCCATGAATTCTTCAGCAGCCTTGACAATCTCCTGATGATCCTCCGGGGGCAACACATGATCCCCTCCAAGCGCCCCCAGCCTAGCAAAAGCTTCCTGTACCAACCCCGCCGTCTTCATCTGATCGTTGTCCGCTCTAGCCTGGCGCAAAAGCCGGAGTATTCCTTCGAATGCAGCTTTGTTGGCATCGGCGGTAGGAATCTCCTTCTGCTGGGTTTGTGTGTTGGTTCCTTCGTTTGGTAGGCTGGGCGAGCTTTCAGCGGCTGAGGGACTGGCGTTGAGTTCACGGAACGAAGGTGGTAGACACAGTTTTGTCGTGCCTTCTCGATGTAGAACCTCATCTGCAGACTTCTGCACCGCTTCTTCGTCGGCGAGTACCCACTCGGTCCAGTGTTGAGCGTGAAACTCTTCCTGCTCTTTGTCGAGGGGGTTTATGCAGTGGAATTCCCTAATTGTGATGATTAGCAACTAGCTTAGTCTTTTGCGTACATGCAATGATTGATGGTAGGATATACATACTTTATCATGTGCTCAAACTTTCTCGTCCCAAGCGAACTAGATGGTGATGCCCTTGAATTGCTATCCAACCATTCTCTTATCACATCCGCCGTCTTATACGTAAACTGTGAGTCCACCTTTCTCGTTTCGTAGTTCAAGCTGCTGGTTCTCTCTCGATAGCGACTCTCGTGCCAGATAATGTGTAAAGGTATAGTGTCATCGTTGTCCCACGTGGGCGGTATATAGCCATTTTCATTTTCTTCCGAGATAGCTCTCAAGGGGCCCTTTAGCTGAATGTGAAGCCAGTGAGCCACTATGGCAAGTATAGAGTGCATGAAATGCATTCGCGGTATTTCGTACTGTAGAGTGCGGTGAAAAGCTGTGAGATATCCGGTTAGAGTTTTGATGGGAAATAGATTTTGTCCTGTAGAGGTAGTTGCACGGCGAGCTGCCTCACGCTGAATGACCTCTTGTATGGTTTTGTTCGTGATGTTGAGAAAGTTTCGTCGCTGCGTTCCCCCTTCACAAAGAGCATCTATGATGGGCGTGTTATGGCTTTGCAGTCTGGTTTTGGTCTTGATTCCCCAGTCGTTGGCGCTGTGTGCATTGCGAGCGAGGCTGGAAAGGGAGCGACCGTGTGCCAGAAATATACGTTGCAAGCAATGTCGCAGAGTCCACGGTCGATCGCCACCGAACACACTCTTGTCGCCCATGATTTTGAGATAGCTTTCCATATCTGGCCACTCCTTTGTCAACACAGGAGTGCAAGGGGATGGGGCTGTCACGCTGTGAGCCTGCCGTAGGTAGTTATAGAGATGTGCCGTCGCGACCGGGCTGCCGCTGTGGTTCTGGAATACCGTATTGAGCTCATCAACAGCTTGGGCGACGACAAAGGCTATCAGGCCAGCTAAAAACGGGTTATATCGTGGCCAATCCCAACGAAAGACTCCAACGACGCATTCTTCTCTTCCACTTATCCTGGTACTTGTTATCTTTTCTTTCATCATGGCGCGTCGACCCCAAAACATTTCCGTGGTATGCCAGTCTACAACCTTTGCTGTGTCTGCATCGCTTCGGAAGAAAGAGGTGAGCGTTTTGCGGATTGGATTTGATGTGAATGGGTATTGTTTTAACAATTCCAGGTAATGACCAGAGTCGCTGTCATTCTGATAGTAATTCTTGTATGCCCAGTTATTCTTGTAGTCGTCTCTTATGATGTTTGGCTCGGCAAGTATGACGACCTCTTGTACCTTCAGGTATAGATCCGTACAGAGGACCAGTTCCACGCTCAGATCAGGAAGTTCCCTCTTTTTTTGTCCCTCCGGTTTGGGAGCAGAGTATAAAGTCTGGAGATACTCTCGCCAGAGTTGAGTGAAGTTGTCCATAATGGGAGGATGTTGGAAGCTGCCCATTCCCTCGACGTCCATGCCTAAGATGTCTTCCAGGGCGTTGACCAGTGGTTGCAGGGCAGGCATGTCCGTTTTGTAGTTGTCAAAATAGCCGATTCGAAGCACAAGCTCCATTGCTCGGTATCGACCGGCGTAGTTTTCAGCCTGGAAGAAACGACTCAACGCATGCCGGATAGTGGTATAAGTGTCTAGGCAGCTGAATTCGGCCACGTGTTTTGGAATCTGGATATCCGCGTCGCTCGTATCTACCGGAATAGCTTCGTCGGAACCTGATCGGATGTCTTTGCGTTTGCGAAGATAGTTCAAGCAGAATGTCTCCATCGAGTTAAGTCCGGGGAACTGCATCGTGAACTCGTGAACGAGACTCCGGAGCATCTGCAACCCGGCTTGAGTTGTTGCCGCGGTCGTGATGAGGTCAAGCTTTCTGTCTAACAAATATTCTTGCCATGCCTTGCGGATGGCCTGTTTAATGCGTAAGTGGTCATGTAGAAGGGATTCCATAGCGACTTGGCGCTCTTCTTCGCTGTTATCGACAAAGTATGTGATCCGTGACGTTGTTGGCGGTTTCTCGGCGACCGCAATCGCAGCACTCTCGACTTCCTGATCAGCCAACTCCTCAATCTCAAGCTTACTGAAGCGATTGGTAATATCATCCATGGAATCATGTCGTTGAGCCTTGTCATCAGTCTTGTTGACGTGTTGCGCGTTGCATATAAACGGCCGTAAGATATTGAGCGTATGCTCCAGCGTCTCCGTGAAGAAAGTATGACCGGCGTTATCTTCTTCTTTCACTACCTTCTCAATTCCATCCAACCCATCAACCTGACTCTCATGCCATTGCGATGACTTCTTCCGTTGTCTGATGGCCCGTGCCGCGCACTGAGCAGCGTATACAGGAACGACGAATTGCTTGGGCGGTTTCTCGGCGATTGCCTCCGCACATGCAATCAGTCCGCTAATACTGACTTCTCGCTCTTCAAGCTTTTTCTTTTTCCTGGCCTGTGATTTTGATGCCGTTGAATCTAACGATGACTTGTAGGGCGGCGGAAAGCCTATACGTGTTGCAGTGCTGCAGAGCCAGTTGATGTACGTGTTGGTGTCTTTTTTGTATTCGAGATAGCTGTTGTAGATGTTATCGGGTAGCATGTTGGCTAGGAATTGCCGGAGGATGCGGCGAAGGTAGTGCTGGAAGTGCCAATGAATCGACCGATACACCGGGCAGTGTGAGGAGGATATTCATGTTCCAAGATGAAAGGTAATCGGGCTGATACCGGAGCTGATATCGCCCTAAGCACACCCCTTAGCGTCGCACTAAACTCTGAGGGTGCAGAGAAGGTGTTGATGGACGCGACCAGGGATCTCCGGATCTGACACAACGCGTAAATCGGCAATGCTGAGCGGCCCGATTAGCTACGACACATCTTGACCACCGCTTTCGTCATCATGTGCTAAAACATTTTGGGTATCGTGTCTGTTGTTGATATTGTGCGGATCCGGCTAGCTGTAACGACCGTATAATTATCTGTTGCCGACAAGTCAGTCGACGTAGGTTGACTTGTTTTGCGGAAGTGATCAATGCGAATAGAGTGCGCCTGACTCAAACTGGGGCCAGGGCTGCTTCGGGCTCGTCATCGAGATCGTACTTTGGTATACGGTCTGATTGCGATGGCTTTGTGACTGCATAAAGTATGCAAAGGTATACGTGCCTGTTTTCGTTATCACGGCTAACCCCGCTGCCTGGCTTTCTAAAATGTGGGCTCGGATGTTCCTGCAATGTCAACATCGTGCGTGTTCGTGCGTGTGCTAAGAGATTGCGATGTTGTGGGTGGAAGAACCCTTGAAGAATGTGAGTGATCAGTGGAGGAAGGAGCGACGAAGGGCATACTGAGCAAGACATGCCTTGGCAAATCAGAGCCGAACGAAAAATGCACCTTGACGAACACTTTCCATTAACACTAAATTTGCTACACTGGGGTATATCTGTACGCTTTTAACCTCAAGAATTCTCTTCTTCATCCCTCCAGTCGCCGTATAATCATCTTCACAGCATCTCTCACTTCAATCACTCCACCTCAATCCCATCCACATCCTCGGTATCATCCAACGCCCTAACCACCTCCTCCATCTCCTTCGGACTCGTGATCCCCCAAACCCCACCGCCCTTAACAGCCCCTTTCATGCCAACCTCCTTCCCCACAAGATTCCTGCCCACCTTCCCGGGTCCAATACCCACATATCGCATAATCTTCTCTTGTTCATGGAGATACTTGACGCTCTTCCACCACTGCACCGTCTCCACGCAACTGCGTGCTAGCAAGTCTTTCAACTGCTCTTTATCTTGGAAGGGCTTGCCGGACACATTCGATATACAGGGCATGATGCCGGGCCATGTTATGATATCGCGGCCGTCTTCGGTGGGCTTGTGCAGGATGCGTTTCATTGTTTCGGCCGCGGGTTTCATGAGGAGGCTGTGGAAGGGGGCGTCAGATTTAAGTCGTACATGGCGGGGGTCGTGGCCGCCGAATTGGCGCAGGTTGGTCAAGAGCGTGCTGATGCGTGTGATGCTGCCGCTGAGGACGATTTGGTTCTTCGAGTTGAGGTTCGCGATGGCGACTTGCTGGACGGCGGGGAGGTGGTCGTGGGAATCGGCTTTGGAGCCTAGGGCGAGGAACTCGTGGATACCGTTGATGAGGGATTGCATGTGCTCTTCGGATTCGCAGACGAGGGCCACCATGCCGAACTCGCCGCCTTCTTCTGCGACGGCTTCTTGGCTGCATTTGCTCATTACTTCGGCTCGTCGCCGCACCATTTTCAGAGCGTCGTGGAAGGTGAGGTAGCCGCCTGCTACGAGGGCTGCAAATTCGCCGAGCGAGTGGCCCAGTGTGATGTCGACGCGCTCGCTGGTCTTGAAGTCAAACTCCTTCTCCAGTATCCGCAGTATCAGGATTGAGGTCGCCATAATGGCCGGTTGCGCGTTCTCGGTTCGTGTTAGCTCGGCATTCGTGCCAGACTCGATTGTCTTGGTAAGGGGGAGTTGAAGGGTTTCGTCAATCTCCTCGAGGATGGGTTTCGCGGTCTGGGGGAAGGCTTGCAGCCATGGTGTGCACATGCCCACGCGTTGTACGCCCTGGCCTGGTATTGCTTAGCATACTAGAATCATGAAGTATTTGAAATCTCGAAGAAATACCAGGGAAGAAGATGGCAGTCTTGGGTCTCGTAGCGGGCGCGTCTCGCACGCTGCTCATCCAGCGCCGCCGTGAAGGCTGACAGTTGGCGCTCCGCTCGCCGCATCGCATACACCGTCGCGGAAGACGCGGGGCTGCTCTGGAAACGGTACTGAAAGAAGCAGACATGGCGTGTTTCTGGCTATGAAGTTTGGGGAGTCATGGTGTTGATTTCCAGCAGCTCTGCGGAGATGCGGAGGTTCGGGCGCGGGGAATTGACGTGAGGTGCCCTGCAGCTTGAACTAGCGCCGTGGGGTCACCCAACACCCACGGCCGAGGTCTTGCTTTTCCGCGACCAATCCTCACCGAGGCATTGACTGATGTCTTTACGAGGGTATACGATTATCAAATTCAATGCTAGACTGATGGATACCTTTGACAGTCATGACTCTTCCACAGCATCCTCTTACGCGCCCTGGATGTTGAGTCCAGCGTCAACCTGAATGCGCATACCAGTCATGCTAGTATTCTTCGCCAACATGACAAACGCTGCAACGCAATCGTCCAGGAAAGTCTCATGCTGAAGCGCTGCCTTGTTCTTGATATGGTCCTGCATTTCTTGAGAGTACTTGAGGCCCTGGACTATTGTCAGTATGAGACGATAGAAAAGCTTCTGAGACCTTACCCATTCCGTCAACAGTAAGCCAGGAAGGACAGTGTTGACGCGAATCTTGGGTCCGACGGTGGCGGCAAGGCATTTGACGAGTTGGAGTTGGGCTGCTTTGGTGACGGCGTAGGGCATGCTGGAGCCGCCTTGGCTGATAGCCTATTCCATGCGATTAGCATGTCGTCAATAGATCTATAGTCCGTAGTTGTGTCAATATGGAAGGAATTGAGAACATACCGCAATACTGCCCGTAGTAATCATCAATCCACCCTCGGGATTCGCGTCAAACGTGCTCCTTGCCTCAGACAATAATGCCTTGGGTACTTTGACATTTGCATTCCAGCACTTATCCCACTCTTCGTCGCTCATGGAGTCGAGATCTTTCCACTCGGAGAAGCGCGTCCAGCCAGCGTTCGCGATGATGACATCTAGCCCTCCCAATTGTTCAATCGTCTCCCTAATTGCTCTCCTCGCCTCATCCGTGGATGTCATATCCTGTCGCACGTATTAGTCTCTCTTCTCCCCAACTGACAATCACCAAACCAACTATAACTCACCGCTTTGATAACAACAGCCTTGACCCCATGCTCTTGACATGCTTTCTGCACCTTCTGCGCGGGCTCGATACGGTTGAAGTAGTTAATCGCCACATTGGCGCCTTCACTCGCAAACGTCGTGCTGAGGAGTTCGCCGAGGCCGCTGAATGGGGGGCGTTAGTCAGCGATGAGATTTGGAAGACGACATAGTGGGTATAGAGTGAGATGTATGGAGGAAGGCAATCAGGAAGATATAATGTACGTACGCTGATCCACCGGTGATAAGTACATTTCTGCCTTTGAGGTCGTACGGCATGTTTGCTGCTTTGCTGCCTGCTCTGTGTGCGTTGGGTAGGCCTGGTGGAGATATAGAATGCGATCAATGTGCTTCCTGTTGTAGATTTGGAGTAGAGGAAAGAGATAAGCTTCTAGTAGGAAAGGCTTAGGATAGAGTATCGAGAGTTCATTCGTGTGTTGTTTACAAGCTGACTGTCGGACCGTCGTCACCGTCGGGAAACATGGTGGGGCAATGGCTTCCGGAGTTTATGCAGGTAGGACCACCCCCGCCCCCCGGTTCTACCGTACTTCTTGCCGGTTTGGGGTTAGTAGGGTTACCTCGGTACAGTCATACATTTACATGGCATATAGCGGGCTGATGTTTGCTCCGCTTGTATTGTACTTGATTGCAAGACGCCTTGAGATACGATAGTAATAATTCATCATAACCAACCATTCCGATCCAATCCATCCTAAGCGCTTATCCCAAGCATTGCCTTTGGAAGAATAATCTACGTGCCTAGGTATGTATTCCATGAAGAAGAAGCCTCCTCAAACACACTCTACATGTTATCGAAATCCAAACCCCAGTCGTCATCTCCTCCGCCACCACCCATATCCATGTTCATGTCCATATCCATATCCATGCCCATACTACCCATGTCACCCAGATCCATACCGGGCAAGCTGCCCAGGTCTGTGCTCATATCGCCTGCGCCTGCATCGCCATTGCCCATGCCGATGTTTGACAGGTCCAAGCCTTCGGCACCAGTCAGTTCGTCCATACTGCGTTGCAGCGCTTTGTTATCCATGTTGGAAATGTCGTCTACCACCGTTGCGGCTGCTGCGTCGTCGATAGCTCGGTTCAGATCGTCGGATATAGTTTGCGATTGCATGTCCCCGATGTTGACGCTCGGTATGTTGATGGGTGGTGCTTGGAGTCCGGCTTCGCTGAGGGAGGCAAAGTGCGCTTCTACTCGGCGGTGCAGACGCACTATCGTCTCTGCAGTCAGAGGATCTGTCGCGACCAAATTGGCTGCGCTCTCGAATTCCTGCTTGAGCATCTCGCGGAGATTCATTCGGGTCCGTTGCTGAGGCGGCGCTGGTATCGAGCTTCCCATCCAGTCTATCGTAATCGGACTGTCTTCAACGGTCGGGGCGCAGATGATAGACACGCCAATGTCGAGCGCAGCGGCTCCGTTGCCAGCATCTGTCTGCGCTTTTACCTCATCTATGATTGCGCGTAGCGTCCTGGTGGCACCAAGCATCTTGAGCGATGCGTAGATTTGGCGATGTGTATAGCCAGGTGGGTTCGGCTGTAACGAAGAAGTCGAAGCCCATTGCGATAATTGTTGTATGGTATGCCGTAGAGACGTGTTCAGGGTGCTGTTGGGTGCATTTGTCCACTGGTACACTTCCTTCAAGCTAGCGTATATGGAACGTTCGTAGTGTGCATGCACTTTGATTGCCTGGATGAAAGGCTCAAGTGTCGTGCGATTTGGC